TAACCAGGGATTGAACTCAGGCACTTGTGCTTGCCAGGGAAGCGCTTATTCATAACACTGAGCCATCTCCCCAACCCCTCACATGAAATTCTTAATGCACATTTTTATTATAGTGGAATTAGAAAATGAATACTGAGAGCCAAGATAATACTAACATAATAACATTTCCCTAGGGTAGTAACAAAGACAGTTTTGTATATCATTTATGCATTCAGAACATGATTAAAATTTCCTGCTTAAACTGGATTTTACTGAAGCACATGCTTTGGATTTTCAGTATCTTTATCTCTAAAAAGTTTAATGCGTACAACATTTAACAAAAGTTTCTCTTTTTCTTTTTTAAAGAGAATAAAAATAGTAGAAAAACACAGAAGTGATACAGTATTTCATTAAACAAAATGATAAGAATTCAGCAATGGTTCTTATATTGCACATTGTTGTGTTCAAATTAGTTGTTCAGATTACCAGACATAAGCATGCAGAATTGGTCAGATAATTAAAAAGAAGAAAAAAATTAAGTATTAACAGTTCATTTCAATAGATCAGTAGAAATCAGCAGTACAATTATACAAAGTATTTTGTGCATATACATATATATATATTTTTTTTTCCCTTCCTTCTCACCTTTCCTTCATCTTGTTTCTTTTTTCAGGTTCTTACACTAGGAAGACAAGTTTCTTTATATGCAGTCATGACAAGAAAAAAATAAAGAATAATACTTATATTGAGTAGACACTTTCACAACCCTGTGAACAACAAACATGGAGACCAACATTTATTCTTTTATTGAGTGAGGGGTTACACTAAGATCTCATAGCTGGGGAAAAAAAAGGAAGAGTGGTATCTCTGGTGATTTAGGATCATCTAGTTCCCATAATACAAGTTCCATGTAAAGTCAACTTTCTTAATGAAATCCAAATTATTTAAGAATATCATTCACATTTGTTGATATATTAAATCAATGTAAATAGAATAAAATTTCCTCAGTTGGTGTGTCATGTTGTGAGAGCTTGTATGTGATTTTGGTGGATGTGTCTTCTTGCATTCAACATATTAAAAACAGCAAGGGCTACATAAGAAATAATGTTTGACTCTTAAAAAGATAGTAAATTTAATTGCATTGGAGAAACATCTGATACCTTTAAAAAATGTATACTACATGGTTAACTTTGATAAGAGTTGTTTCAGAGTGAGGTATTTTGGGTGAAACATCTCAAGTATTAGATGGTCCTGATATGCTGGGAGGATTCTTTGGCAGTTTTTGTCCCAACTGACTAGCTTGAGGGAACTCAACAGTCAAGTTTCATTTGGAACTTAACTGCTAAAAATACAGTCCATATTCTTCACAGAAAAACAATGGAGATCAAGAACAATAGGTTTTTAAGTGTGTTTATGTGACTAACAGAAAATTGTAGCACCAAGTCTATAATCAGCAACAGGTAATTGACAATTGTACTTTCTGTTTAACCCATTCGAGTTGCAAGGGTAACTGCTCTGTTTTAAAAGCAAGTGAACAAATATTTGAGTCAATTGCATTTTAAGTGGCATATGAATGATTTCTCATTGTTAGTACAGCGTGTTATTTCTTTTGTTCTATTTAATGCCTGTTAAAGTGTTAATATTTGTTAATTTCCAACTGGGCATGTTCTTGACATTGCTTTTTCATGAGAAGATACAGTGATCTACCCGGAGTTTCTTTTCTAGTTCTCACAGCTTAAGTCTTGTCAGCACATGATGATTTGGATTGTACACTCAGAGTTAGAGAAAATTAAATTTAGAATGAACAACAGGTACAGTATGCATACTTGAGGATTTTTTAAAACTAACTTTTATAGTTGTTACCCACTTCATACTTTTTTTATTTTTGCATTTTAGAGGAAAAATCTTATTTTTTTTCCTTTCATTCTGATGAAACTATATCATGAAGGCATCATAAATCCTTTGGAATTCTTTGTTTAGTCATATGGTAGTAAAGTTTACAGCCATGTGACTCCCCCATGCTCACTTCTTTCCTTCTCACTTTCAGGAGTCCTCTGTCATGCTGAAGGTCTTGTGTTACCTGAGGGTGGTGCCGGTAGGAGTGCTGCTGCTGTTCCTCACACTCGCCCAGCCAGGCCTCAAACCAGCAACACCTCCAGTGATCAAGAACCATCCTTTCCACATTTTCTGGGCTGCCCCAACAATGTATTGTAGGAAATTCTTCAAAGTAGAAATGAATCTTCCAGTATTTAACATTATAACAAACCCTTTTGAGACTCAGAGTGGATCCACAATTGCCATCCTTTATCCAAATGAATTGGGATATTATCCTTATTTCTCTCAAGATGGAAAACCATTCAATGGTGGAATCCCACAGAGTATGAGCCTCTTGGCTCACCTTAGGAAAATGACTGCTGATATTGTAAGGGCTGTCCCTTGGTGGCAGTCAGAAGGACTTGTTATTATTGACTGGGAAAATTGGAAACCCCAGTGGGTTTAGAAACTGGGGCAGCAGAATAATCTATAAAGACCACTCTTTAGCCTTCACTAGAGACCACCATCCGGACTGGTCAGAAACCAGAGTGGACGCGGCTGCCCGACAGGAATTTGAAAATGCAGGAAGGAGGGTAATGAATGCTACCCTCATGCTAGCTTTAGAAATGAGACTGAAGCGCTTGTGGGGCTTTTATCTCTATCCAGATTGCTATAATTATGATTATGGAGTAAATCCAGCATTTTACACAGGTAATTGCCCAAATGAAGAAATTGTCCTCAATGACCAACTCTTGTGGCTGTGGGAAAAAAGCACAGCACTTTATCCTTAGATATATTTGGATAAATTATTGAAGTCAAGCTTAAATGCATTGAAATTTGTCCATTATCGAGTTAGAGAAGCCCTGAGAATTGCTGAAATGGCTAGACCTGACTATGTTTTGCCAGTTTTTATTTTTTCCAGGCCATTTTATTTGAATAGTTTTGAAACTTTGTCTGAGGTAAGTCATTCACATTAACAAAATGTACGTTTAGAGGAAAGTTATAAAAAGTCTAGAAAGAAATGTTTCAGAAAAGTTATTTCCCTTTTAATAATGTCATGGTATTAACAGAACATAATTATATAATTGCATATTACCATAATTGATATATTAATATGATAGGATGCTATTTTATTATGGAAAGTATATAATGTATTTCTTTAAATAGCAACCAAATTCTGAAACAGTCTTACTGGTAATTAGATGTGTACTTTGAATTTTTAGATGATGATTTTTACCAACTCAGAATTTTCAAGGATTTTCTAAGGAAGAATTATTAGACTGGAGTTAAATAATGTAATAAGTGGATTAATTTTAACCAAGGAGAGAGTTCTTCCTTTCCTTTTTTTAAAATGTATTTAGTGCAGGGGTCTACAGGGTTTCACTACACGGATTGGACCCCTGTGTTCAGCCTCCCCAGCACTGGGATTACAGGTGCACGCCACCAAGTTGCTGTCTCAGTTGCTGTCTCCGCGCACCAAGGGGCGGGCCTGGTATAGCACGCAGGCAATTAAACCCTGGTTCCTGCTTAAGCAGGCGCCGTAATCCGCTGAGCTATCTGGTTGGCCCGAGATTTCTTGATACAAAAGCGTAGCAGCACTTTTTGAATCCAGAAACATGGAATTGGAGTCAGTCGAATGGAGCAGACAATAAATCATTAACCAATTACATTTTTCCTTTTATTGTACTTTTCTATTATAATTTATTACATTAACTGAAAAAAATAGCATAGACTATTGGTTATTTCTTTAAGAGACTCCAATGTCTAATAGTGTTGAGGGATTAAAAGTGGCTTATGTACATAGATACTGTCCTCAGGTGGACAGAGCGTAGGAGGTGCAGAGATACGTGGAGATGAACTTGTTGGAAGATAATGAGTTCATAGACACTGAGGTGCTTGAGTGTTAGCGAGATTGTTAGGTGATGGAAAGGCTGTAATCATTAGATGTGTGGCTACCTAAGAAAATCTTTAAATGTCAATCATATTTGATCCAACTCTTCTGTTAATTCTGTCCTCAACATGGAAAATAGAGGTGTTGGGTAGACAACACACAATTCACTAGCTAAGACCATTTATATTTCAGAGAAGGACATTTTAAAACAATGGTAATTTTTTCTATAACTATTTAAGAATAAAGTCTATTGGCCTGAAATATTTTTGAATAGAATACATTGATACTAATCATTGCAATAATGTTAATGAAATATTTATTCATTAAATTTAGGAGAAAAACAATAATAGCACCACAGCAAATACTGAAGCAATTTTAGCAGTATCAATCCACCACCGATTTATATATGAATTCTTTTTTAATCTGCAATTTTTTTTTTGGCAGAACTGGGGTTTGAACTCAGGCCCTTGTGCTTGCCAGGCAAGAGCTTATTCAACTGAGCCATCTCCCCAGCCCTATCCTTTTTAATCTGACCTCTTCTTTTTAACACTTTTTCATGAAATACTTTCTGTATCAAAAAAAAAAAATCCCAGTTTTGGACAGTACTATCTTCTAGGAAGTTTTAAGACATGTTGAATTTACTTTGCATCTAAGTATTTCATACCACTAGTTCTAATTCTACCTTCAAGTGTAACAGAATAAATGAAACCCTTCCTTTAAAGACCAGTTCTTTGGATATTCTAAAACATCAGTCATGTCTTCCACAGATTTCTCACTAAAGTATTGTGCACATGAGTGATCTCTCAAATCATGTTATTTTCCAAATGCTTTTGGAAAAAAAGATTATGGTGTATCATTTATTTATTCAAAATTATTTATTTGACACCTACAATGTGAATGCTAACAGTAGAAAATAATAATGATCCATTGAGTCAGATAATAAATTTGATAGAAAACAGCCACACTTTTGTGAATGTCTTGCTATCTTATTCTTCGTACTACTAGAGTTTTGAAATGAATTCTGAGTCACCTTTTCACTCTACTCCATAGAGCAATAGGTAACATTTTCTCATCAAAAAAGTATATAATTACTTGAGCATTATTTCAAAACATTTTCATGACTTTCTATATCCTTTCATAGTTTGAAAATCTACAAACAACATTGAATTTTTTCCCTTTCCAATTGTCTATACAGCATACAATTTCAATGAATTTTAAAACATCCAACTCTTCTGATCTTTTCTTTCAAAAGTGTCTCAACTTAAATAATAGATTGGGTTTATGTTTAAGGAATATAATAAAGTACTAGTTAGTGCAATGAAAGAATAATTTATATTCTTGTTGTATGAGACATATTGCAGAATATGAGTAGTATTATAGTTTAGCATCCTCAACTGGAAGATCCAAAATCTGAATTTCTTCCTAATCTGAAATTTTCAAAAGCTGGCATGATGGTATCAGCAGGAAATTCTTCACCTGCACTCAGGTTGCCATTAAAATGTGGGCACATGAAAAATATTGGATAAAATTATCTTCAGCCTAAGTATGTCAGTCAGGCTTATAGGAGACAGAAATTAGGTTTGTGTTTACAGTTGAGTCTTATGGTTTAGGTCTAAAATATTCTCCAAAAGTTTCCTGCATTTGGAAGATGATTGGATTACTGCGGGACACATTCATTGTTGTATTTGTCCATCGACTAGAGTTCAGAGCCTGGATGTTCTTTTGGGAGGTGGGGCTGATTGCAGACAGGCTGTGTTATAGGGTGACCCAGAAGGATGTTTTCTTGTCCTCGGCTCCTCCCTTCTCCCTCTTCCCTTCCTGGGTTCCACAGGTTGAGCATCTTTCCCCTGCTGTGCTGTTTCTGCCTTGGAGACAACCGGCCATGGTCTGAAACCATGAGCCAAAATAAACTCTCCTCTTTTAAGTTGTGAGTGTCAGGTATCATGTTTCAGGGAGGGGACAATGACTAATAAAGGTCACATCCCCACTATATTTCACTATATATATATATATATATATATATATATATATATATATATATATATTTTCCACTCTGAAAACAACATGAAAATTGGAAATTCTGAACACTTCTGCTTGCATGGATTTCAACCACTTGTCACTGGAGCTTTTTCTCTAATGTAGGAGATCTTTGTGGAGGTCTTGCCATTCACTTATTCCAGTCTTTGAGCCAGTCACTTTTGCACTGAATTTCTAATACTTCTTAGGGAGGAAAGAATGCAGATTATAACCTCTTTAGTATCTAATCAACGGATTTCTCCTTTCTCCTCTTTTCTTTGTTTCTTAGGTAATTAAAAATCACCCAGCTCAATTTCCCAATAACGTTCTAGTCTTTCCCCTCTTCGTAACGCTGATACTGCTTTTCTTGGTTCCTTATCAATTCATTTGAACAATTACTATCACTTCCCAACTGGTGCCTCTGACTGCCCCATCTTGATATTTTTTTAGAATGTGTTGGATTATACATCTACTAAAATGGCTTTTAGAGTTATAAATTTATATCATTTCAGTGATGAATTGTATTTGGATTCTGTTTAGAAACAAGGATTTATATATCTTTACTTTCCCCCCAAATCCTATGTTTTTCTCACAAGAAGTTACTGAATGTCCTCTGCATGGACCATGTTCTTGTCTGCATATAAGTCCTGTCCTTGGTCTGCCTTTAATGGCAATGGAATACCTATCGCTTACAAAATTAAATGAAAAAAGGGGATATAAATGAAGGATCATTTTGTATCTGTATATACAAAATAGGATAGATATATAGCTACTTTCTCTTAATTCAGTGAGAAGAAAGATTTGTACTAAAAGTGTTTGGACAGGATATCATGTCTGCATCCTGTATTATGAATAACCACTACAAAGACAACAATATGCAATGTGTTAATTATTGAAACTGTCCTATTAATCGGTTTTGAAACTGTCTCATTGTTATTTGTTTCTCAATAAAATTAATTAAAAAATGGGAAATTAAACTCATTCTCAAAGATTCACTTAAAATTTCACCTGTTCAAGGAAGATGTCTCAAACTCTTCCATGTAGAATTAAACATTTCTTCAAATCTTCATAAGATTTGTGGGGGCTGCAAATGCAAATAAGCATAATTACTTGTTTTTAATATCTGTCTCAAACATCAGTCTAAAGCATTACCACGGGAGTGGGAATTTAAATAGTTTTCATTTTTATATCCTCAGTGTCTAGAATGTTGCCTTAAAAATCATAATTATTTATCAAATAAACTAGGAAGGAGAGGCAGAATAGCCTTTTACAAGCCTCCTTGTCTTTTGTTTTAGAAACAAAGATATAGTTATTGTGGTTTTTAACCAGGGTTGAAAGAAGTTGAGTCTTACTGAATTGTCAATGACTAAATTTTGTTTGGCAGAAACTGCTTCTGATGCTTCTCTTTTCTAGGAGGACTTGGTGCATACGATTGGTGAAAGCGCTGCATTAGGGGCAGCAGGAATAATATTGTGAGGAGGATATGAATATATTGCATCAAAGGTAAGCAATTATTTCCTTCAGCAGCTTGAATATATTCTAGATAGTGACATTTAAAACAATTCACATCAAGGCCAAACAGTTGCTGACTTGTGGTCCCTTGACTTTATTTTTTTTAATCAGTACATTTGCAGTACAGAATACTTACAGTCCTGTGTGGAGTGGTACCTGTACAGAACACATCTTAATTATTTTTTCATCCCTGTGGTTCCCTCTCCCCATCCCCTCTGGATCACTTTATTCCCTTTACATCTAAGCAAGTTCTGTCTTCTTAGTCTTATTATCTGTTTTTTATTTTGTTCCTTATCTAAATTTGAGTTTCTCATATGAAAAAGCATGCAATATTTAAGCATGCACATCTGATTTATTTTACTTACCATCATGGTCTTAACGTATATATCCATTGTGTCTAAATATGTACCACGTTTTCTCTACCCATGAAATCCAAATAGTAAGGGATTAACATTGCTTAGAATCTACTTTGTATCAGCCACTGTGATTAAATGTTTGGAAAAAGAATAATCTTCAATCAGGCATCCCAAAGTCAGAAACTGATTGTTATATCCTAAGGATATAGTTTTAGACATATTAATTCACTTGAGCCTCAACTCATTTATTTAAAAATTATACTAGAATTAAAACCTATCTGCAGTAATTTTAGTAGATAACATATCAGAATTTATGTCAGTAAAAAAGAATATTAAATTTTAAAAATTTCTTATCATGAAGAAAGGTGGATTCTGTAAAAATTATTACTTATTTTATTCATTGCCTATGAAAGAAATGCATGTGAGCTGAAAATATTTCTGCATAAAGGTTCAACTATGCTATGTAGCAGATTGTTAGCACTTACTTATTTAGATTGAATGAACTTTTGAATAATGCCCCATTTTCCTTACTTATAGCCCTTGACAATGACCACAACTACTATTGTAGTCTCTGCTTCTATGTGTTTTACTTTTTAGATACTTCTTGTAAGTAGAATCAAGCAGTACTACTGGTCCTTTCATGGTTTATTTATTTCACTTAG